ATCATGATTTCATTGGCAGTTACTTTTTCATCTTTTTTATTAATTAAGCAATTTAATTATATATTAAATGTTTTCTCAGTTTATTATATTAAATAAGATTATATTTGAATTTTAAACTTTTACATGGTGGAATAACAAATGTTTGCATCTACGGGCAGTTTCTAATTTTTATATGGATTTTCTCTAATTTTAAATTATTTTTACGAGATAATTACACCACACTGTACATTAGCCAATTCCATTTATTTTGAATATTGGATTCACAAATAAATGATAACAAGTGAGTTCAGTACACGACAAATTTAGGGTTTTTACTATAGTACCATTTCTTGTAATTTTATGTTTAAATTTTAAATTTTTAATGGTAAAATAATAACAAACTTGATACTGTTTATTTTTGAATTATTTTCAAAATAAAAATTAATAATAATAAAAGTTTGTCATTTTAGATGATATTATTTTAAAATTGTAAATTTTAATTCATATTTAAATTAATATTGCAATTCATATATCTATATTGAATAGTTCTTGAAGTTCTTTCAAATCGGTAAGAGCATTTATTAGTTGTAATTATCTATTCTTTAATTTAATAAGTTTAATTCTAATAGGCGATTACTAATTATTTTGTTTAACATATATACTTTTTGGTGGTAGGTATGATATTAGATAAAAGTTGGATGCAAATCACCGATAGAACAAATCTTTTATACAATAAAGGAGTCTGTGAATATCTTAAATTTGTATTTAATGGTTTGAGGATGGAAAATTACTTCGTTGTTCATGTAAAAAATGCAATAATAATCTTCCTTGTTCTCAAGAAATCATATATAAGCACTTGACCATAGTTGGGATAAAAAGAGATTATATTCTTTGGGAGTATCATGAAGAAATGGCTAGTGAACCTAAAGAAGACAATGACAATGATGATGAGAAAGATTGTAACAAGGAAATTCATGATATATTACATATATGGTCTAAACAATTTCATCAACACTGAAAGCATCGTAGAAAGTAAGGAAACGAGTTATATGGCCAATCCAAACATAAGTCAAATGAATGAAGAAGCTGGTAACTTTTATAAACTATTAGAGGATGCCAAAGAAGAATTATATCCTAGCTGTGATAATTTCTCTAAGTTATCATTTATAATACAACCATTAAACATCAAGTATATGTTTGATATGAGTGCAAAATGAATTGTGAACTAGGGCTTGATTACACAAAAATAGTTGTTTGTCCTTGTGATTGCTTACTTTATTGGGTTGATTATTCAAATTCTTCGTCTATTCCAACTTGTGGCGATCCTTGATATAAAGATCCAAAAGCAAAAAAAATTGCCCTAAAAGGTGTTGCTGTAACACCCCAAATTTTATAATATTGTTGATTGTTAATATATACATGTGTGAATTGATGTTTGAATGTAATATGATTGAGAGATGAGTGTGGACTTGTGATTGGATTGAAATATAGGCTAAGTGTGTACTGCAGGAATGTTCTCGTTGTAGCGAGAAGCATGATTCTGTTGCATTTTCGCTGTAGCCAAAGGCTCCTCGCTGCAGCGAGAGGGCAACAGAAGAGAGTGCATTTCTGGATGCCGTCTCATTGTAGTGAGAGGGTCTCACGATAGCGAGATCCTGCAGAAACCAGAGTGCAGTTTCCTCTGAGATTTTTGTTGTAGCGAGAGGGAGTATCGCTGCAGCAAGAGATGGCTTGCTGTAGCGAAAGTGTCACGACCAGAAGAGTATTTGAGGGGTTTAGGATATGGGAAGTTCGTTTCTCATCCCTCTCTTCAAACTCTCTTCGGTTCTCTCGACTTCTAACCCTATTTCATCGTTTAAACTTCCTCCAAAGCCGTTTGGGGTGTAAGATTGAAGGTTGAGGTTGCGTTTGGAGCATTTGAAGGTAAGTTATATGAATTAGGGTTTTGGATTTTCATCCCCTTCTTTGATTTCTCGGTTTCTCATAGGGTTTTCCCTATATTTAGGATAAAAGTTCATGTGGGGAGATTTTTTATCATAGTTTTCATGTTGGGTCTTCAATCTGAGGTAAGGGGGACTTAACCTATCTCATTGTGCTTTGAATCCATTTATTTGACGATGTATTGCAATGTGGTTAGGATAAAATGTAGGAATATTTGTGTTTTGATGTACATTTCGTGTTGAACATGATTTATGAGGAAATGGTGATGGAAATTATGTGGTTGGCTACAATGTGCATGTGTTGAGAATGATTTGATTGTAATTGGAATCGTGTTGGAAATGTTGTGTGTTTGAATGTAACGTGATGGAATGTGGGCACACGTGCCGTGTGCGAAAAATTGAGTATCATGATGTGGTTGAGAACATGGTTAAACTGCTCAGACATGTTGATTGATATTGGATATTATGAAATGAGTGAAATATTGAAAAGCTACGACTGGTTCAGCGATACACTGGGGTGTGGAAGATAAGGGAGGTAGAAATAGCTTAGGGAAGAGAGGGTGGTGGTGACACCAACAGTGAGCATGGGTGCACCATAGGCCACACACTCTCCTCCTGACTCGGCCTTTAATGAACACCTTTGCTTGGGGGTTCAGTACCACACACGTTGTATCCGTGGGGCAGGAGCTATCCGGCGACCATCCATGATGTGAACTGAGTAAGTCCTTGAGGTTGAGGGCATCAAGAATCTGTGATCATAGTACCACATTGAACGTGACTAGCGTGCAGTGAGCGCACGTGGGTGTGAATTGTTTGATGGTGCAGTGAGCGCACTTGTGTGTAAATGAAATGAAATATTAAAATTAGTACTCTGTGTTTGTTGATGAATAATTTGAGAAGTGTTAGTAAATGTGTGACGTGTGCAAGGTGAGTCTCTGTGTTTGTGTGTGAGAGTGTAGAGTACTCACCTTTACATTTATTTTTCAGGTGATCAAGACGATCGACATCGAAATCAGTGAAGGGATGAATGATACTATTATAGGACTTAAAATAGTTATTTTTGGAACTGAAATGTATTAATTAAGTCTTGTAGCAATGATTGTTTCAAATTTGTAATCCATCCTATTTTGAAATACTTTAATGAACTATGTATTGGAAACTGTTTGAATGAAAATTTTTGTTATTCCCATTTTTGTGAATTTTATTATTTAAAAATCAAATTAAGGTTTTATAGTTGCATTACTTTCAGAGTATGCTCATGTACATTTATTATTGATTTGAAGGGGTTTTTACACTAATTACTCTATTAATTGTTGTTCATAAGCATGTATGAAGACTCACTGGAATTTTTGAGATTTTGGGTGCAAATTGAAGAGAATCAAGCAATTAAAAAGTAAGCACGCTCAATCCTTTCTTATCAGCACACCCATGCCTCATTATAATGCACGACCATGCTAATATAAAAGAACACCTATGTTTAATATAGGCACACCCATGCATCCATCTGGCACAGTCGTGCTAACATGCGCAATTCATTAATTTTATATGATTTTAGATCTGAAAAAGCATATAAAAAAGGGTTGAAAAGTAGTGGTAGGGGATCCCCTATGGAGACTTGATACGTGAGTTCTACGTGATTCTCCATCTTTTCTGTACAAGACTTTTAGCACTTTGGAAGATTTAGATCTTCAAGCAATCGAACTTGGAGAATGTGATCCTCCTTTTAGTTTGTTTTCCATCTTTTTTATGATTGTGTTTATGGCTTTATTTACAAATGCTTGGATTTCCTTGAGTATGAGTAACTAAACCCATAGAGCTCTAGAACCCTTGTCCATGACTTTATAAGATTTTGATAATTAAATTTAGATTTGATTTCCATTGTGATTTAGAGTTTCTCCTACTACGTTTGATTTTATATTGTGAATTGACCACTCATAACATAAATTTGATTAATTACATCGTTAGGTGACCGTACCTCAATTAATTAATAGATTTGTAGGACAAAATGAGATAAAAGATTAGGTGGACCAAACTGTTCTTTCGCTTTCAATCGTTTGATTTCATAGGTTCTTCATGCTTCCTTTAACTAATATCTTGCATGACCATTAGGGATGTTAATTTTGAGGAAAAAATATTAGTATTACATGACCATTGGGTAATAATAGTAACTGTATGAATAATTAGTAATCACATGAACATCGGATCTAGAATTAATTAGAAAAGAAACATAAAAGATTGAATGAGTGAACCCATAAGCCCTAGGTTTTCTTCCTATAATTTTCTCTAAGGTGTGTGTTGTGATTTCTATTTTAAGATCTAGTGATAAGTGTTTTGAATCTTTAATTTCAGCTTTGCAATTTTGAAATCCTTCATGTTCAAACAATTAATAAAGAAATTCTTAGTAATTGGAAGATAATCCTTGTGGGACGATAATTTGAGAACTTATTTTAGAACCTTTTATTACTTCTCGATAGGTACCCTCCAAACAAGTTTTTGGCACCGTTGCCAAGGGTTATTTGTTTTTTTCAATATTGAGAAAATCTTATGTTTAATTGATTTGAGCAATGTTTGTTTTGTTTAATTTGTTTTTATAATTTTTAGTGTATGCTCACTTGTTCCAAATGCTCTACAGCTTGCTTATTTGATCCAGAGACCAAGAGAACAACGCGTAGACAAAAGAAAGAAGTGAGAGAGCAAAGAATAGCAGAAAGGAGAAGAACAATTCAGAATTACATGACAGCCACTGCTAAGGGCACTCCAGGAAGCATTATAGCCCCCAATGTGGAAGCCAACAATTTTGAGCTGAAGTTGGCCTTGATAACCATGGTACAGAACTCCATTGACTTTGGAGGCATGCCCAATGAAGATCCAAATCTCCATTTGACAAAGTTCTTCCAGCTAAATGATACCATTAAATACAACAGAGTCTCCAGCGATGTCATCCGACTTTGTCTTTTTCCTTTTTCGGTATCAAAAAGGGTGAATGCATGGTTCACCTCACTGTCAGCCATCTCCATCATAACTTTAGAGGACCTCACTCACCAATTCCAGGGAAAGTATTTTCCTCCATCAAGGTCCTTAAAACTAATGACGGAGATAAGTTGCTTCTAGCAAAACAAAGCAGAATCACTATTTGAGGTGTGGGAGCAATTTGGGGAGCTTTTAAGGATATGCCCACACCATGATTTTTCAACATAGAAATAGGCACAAATAATCTACAGTGGTCTATCCATTACTAACAGGGCCACAATCAATGCTGCAGTAGGAGGATCCCTTATAAGAAAAGATCTAGATGACACATATAAGTTAATAGACGAGATGGCATCTGCCAGTTTCCAATGACACATAATTGACTCTTATAGCATCAAGAGGAAGGAAGTTGCGTCAATCTACCATGTAGAGAGCAACAACCTGCTGATAAATTGATGAATCCATATTTTGACTCATATTTTAGTATAATTCTAACCCATTTGATAAGGAAAACATGTAAGAAACAGCAAAAAATTAGAAAAATAGAATGATTGAAGGTTTTCTTTTATTATGTTTAACATTTGTGAAATTTATGCTTGTTTTTGTAGGAATAATCTGAGCAAGGTTTATAGAAATGGAATATCAATGGAAAGGAAGAGGAAGAATAGCAGTTTTGGACTCCAAAACATAAGAACAATGGGATGTAGGCTGAGCGTGATCACTATTGTCAATGAAAGTGATCAATCTAGAGCTCAAGGAAGAAGTAAAGTATGGGCATAACCACTTTTACCAGCAAAAGTGAATGTTTTAGAGAAGCCTCAGACTCAGCATGCTCTGCGTAACCACTTTTATCAGCGAAAGTGAGCGTTCCAGAGAAGGCAAAATTTCAGAGTATTCTGCATAACCGCTTTTATCATTGAAAGTGGATGTTCCAAAGAGCCCTCAACTTGACAAGTTGTGCGTGACCACTTTTACTCATAAAAGTGATTACGCATAACATCTCGACCTTCTGCGTTGCAACTCTTAGCAGCGAAAGTGATAGTTCCAGTTTCCAAAAACCACATGAGCGTCTGTGTGGCCACTCTTATTAGCAAGAGTGACAACGCATAAAATCAGGATTTCTATAAATACATGTCTTAAGCTCAGAACTCGAGGTCTTTTGTTCATTTTCCATTTTTTTCTATTAGATTCTCGTTGGGAGATAGTGAGAGAGAGGACTGGGGTTGAACCTTGAAGCTTCAAGAAGAGGCATTGAATTGGAGCTCGTGACTATGACTTTTCTGAGTTTCTTCTCTTCTTCTCCTTCTTTCTCTTTCCCTGTCACAATGTCTGCGTAATTCTTTGTAGTTAGGAGTTTATAGACCTAGAATTAATGTATTGATTTGATTCTTGCTTATGAAATTTGAGTTTTTGGATTAATTGAGTTTCAATTTTGCACCTTACATAATCTTTGAATAGAAATTCATTTGATTAATCAAAGAGGAACATTTGCCAATGGGAATTGGATTTGATTCTCTGATCTGAATTAACAACCAGAATTAGGGATTTCTTAGGGATAAGTACACTTAATTCTGCAATCTTACGATTTTAAGTCTTAATGCAACATGAAATTAAACTTCACCTAAGGGATTAGGGGGTTTAGTGGCTTGTTAGGGTCAATGAGTTAAGGGATTAACCTTTGACTAGTTATATGTGAAACTGATTGTCAAATAACCAATTGCTTGAATGTTCAGAAGTATAATTGAATTAATATTGACATTCTTGTGAAGTGAATTCTTAACTATTCTTCATTTGTATCTCATCTCAACACAATTTACATACTCTGTTTTAATTGCAAGTTTAATTCTTTGTATTATTCTGGTTCATTGCTTTCATATGTTACATCCTTTCCAAATTTGTATGACTCAACTAGTTGTTGCTCTGTGAATTGGTAATTGAATTCCTAATTTCCTGTGAAGACGATATTTGGATCTTAAATTTACTTATTACTCGCTGCAATTCCTAGTGCACTTGCTAGTGTTTAGAATTGTAACAACATAAATCACATGGCAGCCCTTACAAAGTAACTGTCTTTAATTAGGGCGCAATACCAGCCCACAAAATTTGCTGCAAATAGAGTGTGGATTTAGAGGAGGCAAACTTCATGGACAATATTTACAACTCAGGGTGGCGTAATAGCAACACAACCCCTTGGGGAAACTGCCAAGGAATTCAGAACGTACCCTATCATCCTTCTCATGTGCAGAGCCAAGGAGAAAAGGTAGCAAGAAAAGAAGTTCCCAGATTTCAATCTAATTTTCAAGAATAAATGATGCAATATGTTCATAGCCCTGACAAAAGAATAGCAAAACTTGAAGCCCAAATGGAGCAACAGATTGAAAGGGAGAATAAGAGGTTTGCAGAAATCAAATCTTAAATGAGGGCTCAATCTTCAAAACTTGAATCATAATTGGAGCAAATCACAAGTCCCCTTAGTCAAGTAGCATTAGGAACATTACCATACCAGCCAGAACCAAATCCTAAAGAGCAAGCTAAGGCCTTCACCCTGAGGAGCGGGAAAAACCTTCATAAAACGCAGACCAATAAGACATGCATGCTTGTGCTCACTGATGAGCATGCCCTTACTCCACCCTGCACGCCCATGCCACCTGAACATGCATGGCCATTGATAAGTTCATATTTTGATATATTTTATGACTTATATTTATACACTTAAACTCTATTTCATATATATTTATACTAATTATATTATTAATTATTACAGTTTAGTTCGAAGTTCTTATTAGTGTATTATAGAGATATTCTGGATAAAAATTAGATATTTTTAGTCATTGGTTGTGCTATCTGAAGCTAAGTTTGAATTTTGAATTTTGAATTTAAAATTTAAACTTAGATATGAAGATTTGAAGTGATTTTGATTGTGGATAAAACCAATTTGAAAAGATAGAGCTCAACTGACTGAAAACTTAGGACACAACCTATATAAAGATACTTTATGCTCCACACTTGACACACTTCCATTTCTCTACATGCCTTCTTCCCCTTTTTAGTTCTAACCAAACTCATTTTTTAGAGTTATTGGAGGCCATTGGCAAGGACAACGACCTTCCTCTTGGAGTCCAAGCAAGTGATTGAACGCCCTTCAGAGAATGAGAACTCTCTTTGTCTTTTACCTTTTAGGTTTCTTTTGTTTGAATTTTCCTTTGTGATTATAGGTTTATTTATCACGTTCTTCGTAATTTACTTTGTTATGAGTAACTAAACCCATAGCTAGGGCTATGGTGGATCCTACTGCAAACTTTGTGTGATTTTTACTTTAATGTTGGTATTGATTTTCCTTTAATGTTTAGTTTTTATTCTATTGGATTATATTGTATATGTTAAAATTTGATTACCCTTAGCATCCTATAGTTAGGTTAATCACACTTAACTCCTTTCTTTTAGTCGTTATTGAATTAATAAACTCATAGGATCTTCATGATTTTTTGACTAATTGCCTTGTATGATCATTGAAGATGGTTACTCAAGGAAAAGAATATTGACATTGCATAATCATTGGGTGTTAATAGAACTAATTATGAGTGGTTGGCAAATATTTGGATACCAATACTGGGATTAAATTTATTAGAACAGAAAGAAGTGTAGTAGATGAACCCATAAATCCTAGGCACATCTCATATAATCTCTCTCATACATTGTGTTATTGTTCTTTTAATATATTATTAACATTAAGCTCTGTTTTTGATTCGTTACAATCTCATTACATTTAAACAATAAAATTAAGTTATTCTAGGTACTTGAAATAATCTTTGTAGCACGATAACTTGGGAACTCTTAATTCAAAAACCCTTTGTTACTTTTTGATAGGTACACTTGTTTAAGAACAAGTTTTTGGAGCCGTTGTCGGGGATTAGTTTTCAATATTAAAGAAAATTGAGTATTTGGTTAATTTTAAATATTTTTATTTTTATTTTTATTTTGTTTTATGCTCACTCATTCTAAACCTATTGCAGAACTTGCTTTTGATCCAAAAATCGAGAAGATCACATGTAGGCTAAGGAAGAAGTGTAGAGAAAAGAAAAAAATGGCAGAAGAATGACCAATCTTGGAGTACATGACAACCATTGTTGAGGGTGATCCTGGGAGCATCGTAGCACCTGACATAGAGGCCAATAATTTTGAATTAAAGCTGGCCTTCATTAATCTAGTCCAGAACTCCACACTGTTTTTGGTGGCACCTAACGAAGACCCCCACCTTCATTTGAAAAAGTTTCTTCAACTCACGGATACCATCAAATATAATGGTGTCACCAAAAATACTATAAGGCTTTGTCTCTTTCCATTCTCTGTCATGGAAAGGATGGACGCATGGTTCTCCACACTTCTATCTAATTCAATTACAATGTGGGATGGCCTAACCCAACAATTCTTAGCCAAATATTTTCCACCATCACTCTCTGCAAAGCTGATGATAGAGATCTCCACTTTTTAATAATGAGTCTAAATCTCTATTTTAGACGTGCGAGCACTTTGGAGAACTTTTGAGGAGATGTCTACATCATGGTTTCCCTGTGTGGAAGCAGATGCAGATTTTCTATGTTGGACTCTCATCTTCCAATAGAGCCACAGTTGATACTGCCGCTGGAGGATCCTTCCTATGCAAAGGGCCAACTGCGGCCTATACATTGATAGAAAGATAGCATCCAACAATTTCTAATGGCAAACAGACCATCATAGAAGCAAAGAGAAAGAAATCGCTCCAATCTATCAGGCTGTCAAGACAAACAGTGTAACGCCCCGAGTTTTGTAAAAGTATTTTTTTTATTAATATAAATTATGGATTTTTATTTGAATTTGCATTTCGATTTATGTGATGATGATGTGAATACATGTGGGTATATGTGTGTATAACCATGTGTGGATAGACACATAAATATGTATTGAGGATGTTTGATTTATAATTGGGCTAGCTGATTGGAAACATAGGTTAGTGTGTACTACATGGGCATTTTTGCTGTAGTAAGAAGGTCCTGGGCAAGTTGGGTGTCTCTATTGCGTTCTCGTTATAGCAAGAGGGTAACAGAGAAGGGTAGTTTTATGGACAAAGTCTTGTTGTAGGAAGATTATGTAGAAACCATAGTATAGTTTGGTCTGATATTTTTGCTATAGCGGAAAGAGTCTCATTGTAGCGAGAGTGCCTCACTATAGCGAGAAATGT